AACAAAAAAAACGTTTTTTGTTTGTACATAGCGTAATATTAACTTTCACATCTTGGGGAAGTCACTTCATGTACATATACATATATAACAAAATATAACAACTATTTATTTCCATGTTCATTTTCATTGTAAAACTCAATTCATTATAATATAAAGATATCAAATAATTTTCAAATGCAGTCAATTTTTGAACATTATCTTATACTTTTCAATAATAAAAATGAAATACTTTGGAAAACAATCACAAGATTTTTTATCCCAATTGTTTCAACTTTTCTGTGTATTACTTTATGCCCCATGTTTCATTTATAGTTGTTTTTGTCCACCAAATAACATTAAAAAACTTATTTTAATATTTTTAAATATTAAACACATTTTCAACTCAATTGTGATAATCTCTTTTTGTTTATCAGATTATTATATATAAATGCAATAATAATTTTGTTTCCAGCTTTATTTATAATTTATTAGAATTATATAAGTCAAAAATAGAATATAATAAAAATTAAAAAGGGTTGAATAAAAAAAATCGACCAAAAAATTGTTTAGAACAAGAAAGCAAGTGCTATAGCTAACAAAGCAAAAATTTCAAAAGCTCCACTTGTGATTTTGTAAGAATATGTTAATTCTGTATTGCATTTGTCGAGTTCATATTTCACTTTTGTATCTTTAGCTGTTCCAGTACAGTCATTTGAAGTGAATTTTTTTTCAACAAGATTGTTATTTTCAATTGCATACTGTGATGAATCATCGGTTCCTCTTGTGCAAATGGCCAAATACAACCGTTCTATTGGGTTTGAATCCTCGTTCGTAGTAGTACAATCTTTTGTGGATGGATATGTGTATGAAACAGCAACATAATCTGGAAGGCTATATTGTGGAACACCATAAGAGGACAAAAGAGACGCAGTGCTTGGTATCCACTCTTTGCAGTCTGAAGAGACATACTTATAAATATACATTCCTTCTTGTGTGTATTTTATATAATTAAAATTTGATATTTCATATATCTTTCCCAATTTGGTTATAGAGTTATCTTCTACCAAGTATTTAGCAGACGACAATGTGACGAGAAACAAAAGTACAAACATCTTTGTTTATTTGAGTTTTTTTGTCAATTTATAATTCAAATTTTCAAAGACAATTTTGAATGTTACAAAACATTTAATTTTCGATGTTTTTAATTTTTTGAAATTTATTGATAAAAATTGTTGTTTTTTTAACGGTGTGATAAATATAATATTTATTACTATTAATAAACAAATAAACATTTCAACTCTAATCGAATTCTAAAAATTGATTGTTGAAAGAGGGATAATAATATTTTAAGTATAAAAATAGAGAAAAACGTTGTTTTAAATTGTGCAATAATTTATTTAAAAACACAATTACAATTCGGAATTCAGTTTATTGTGCAATTTGTACATATTTTTGCATAAATTGTTGCTAAACCGAGTATAAAACAAAAAAAAACACTTACAAAAAATTTTAAAACAAATTCGAAATTATAAATTCTTATTTGTTCATCTTTTACAATACGTCTTTGGCACTTCGTAATTATGCATAAGTACTCAAAGTTGTTTTTTTGTTTTAAAAATTAATTAAATCTTTTAGAATGTTTATAACAAAAATAATAACAAGGAAAACCTTTAAGACACATTCGAAAAACAATGCCGAAAACATGTAAATATAGTAAACAATTATTATACCTTAGAGTTTATAAACTTTTTTATTAACATCGAAAAGAAAAAACAGCATTAAAATGTTTTAAAAATGGTAATAAAAAGAAACAACACTAAGAAATCAAATCACTTGATGTTCGCACTTCTTTTCCTTGTATCATTCACTTCAGCTTTTTACCAAGTTAGTCCAAATTCCTTAGATGGCAGTATTAACATCATAAAACTGGGAAGAATATATAACAGTGGTACCTTGACTTATGCAAAAATTGAATATTCAGGCAACTTCCTGAACTATTATTATTCCACTGATTGCAAAGAGTGGGTACCACAAGGGTCTTCTACTTATGAACATCCTATAGTTTACTCCATTCCCGATTTTATCGCTGCTAAGTACACGTACGATGCTACTGGATGTGTAATGTCCAATGAAGATGCTAACCCAGATGAAGTTATATATACTGAAAGATGTATCACCAGCGTTGTTTCTTCGTCTCAATACGTCGTTGAAAACGACAAACTTTATTTGAAAACATACTCTGGAGCTGGATGCACGGGTACTTTCACTCTTGGTAATGAAATTGCTACACTTGATAAATGTGTAGATAATAGTAAATCTTCGTACCAATATACAAGTGGAGCTGTGGAATTCTTTGCTCTGTTCGCTGTAGCACTTGCTTCT